CCGGGGTACAAATTAGAACATTCCATGCCCCGGGCTGGAGTTTGCATATACGTCAGAGAGGACATCTGTTTTCGACTCCTCAGCAGTCTTAAAGGTACGGAACTGTCCATCCTGTGGCTGCACGTAGACAGCGACGACCATCCCCGCGTCTACGGGTGCCTCTATAGGTCCCATAGCGGTAATACCGCTAATAGCTGCGGGCTAGCAGACCGACTCATCTCCCACGTCAAAAGGGCTACAGATTCCGTGCTTCAGCAGATCCCATCCGCAGAGATCGTGATCCTTGGCGATTTTAACGCCCACCGCGCCGAATGGCTCGGGGTTCACGTTTAACCGAACATGCGGGTAGATCTGTTGATCTGTTTATGACTTTGCTTTGGCATATGGTCTAACACAACTGGTTACTTCGCCTACGCGGATTCCAGACGTGGAAGATCATACACCTTCCCTGTTGGACCTTCTGCTGACCTCTCATCCGGACGAATATCAGGTTTCCGTCGACGCCCCTTTAGGCTCTTCAGACCATTGTTTTGTCCGGAGTGTAGTGCCAGTCACATTAACATCGCGGTTGCATTCTGCAGATTGCTGCCGTGTTTGGCGCTATAGGTCGGTCGATTGGGATAGGATGCGGTCTTTTTTTGTATCCTACCCTTGGGGTTAGCGTTGCCAGACGTCCGGATAAAGCTGGACACAGTCAGGCTTTTTGGTTGCGTGTCCGGCCAAATTAGACGGTGTCCGGTTTTTGTTAGGAATTTTCATGTACTGACATACATAGTATTGCTGTTATTGAAATTAATGTTGTAATGAATATTGAATGATTAATAATAAAGAAGAATGATTTATTCAGTTGTTGTTATTTCGTTAGAACTTAAGAAGATTTTACGGTAAATTTATCATTTATATATATATATATATATATAATTTATCATTTATATATAAAGCATAGTTTTACTTTAAAAAAATGTCTTTTAATAAGACAAAAACATAAGTGTGTCCGTTCTTTTTACCAAAATGTCCGGCTAAGCTCGCTGGTCTGTCCGGCTTTTCGGTTTTAAGACCAGGCAATCCTACTTGGGGGCGGGGTTTGCTTCTCGCCGGACGATCCTAGCGTTGTTGCTGATTCTGTCGCTGATTTGCTACTTCAGGGTATGGAACTTCTTTGGTCACTCCTGTATTATAGCATCACGCTATAAGCAGGAATGCTACCGAGCCTGGGCTGACGCATCAACGTCTCTGGATGTAAACACTAGCGCTCTTAAAAAGAAGTATAATTCCGCCTCCAGGTCCTTTAGTCATTACCAAGGCAAAAGTTCTAAGCACATCGGCAGAATTGGCGTGAAGTTAGTTCGCCTGCCTTCGGGACCCGTGCATTCTGTTCTCTCGCCAAGGCTGTCCATGGGAACTTCTGTCAGTCATGTCTTCCATCTCTGCACAGAGGGAACGACTCACTGGCCCGTGCCGCAAAGGTGAAACCCGATCTGTTAGGCTCTCTCTTTGGGTCCAATTCGACTCGATGATGGGGGGAACACACCGCCGACCATCCCGCGGTGTGAGTGCTCCACGCCGGATGTGCGGTTTACACAGCGCTCTGTTCGTTCGCTAAGCACTCGCCTCTCCCTGGACGTCAGCAAGTCGTGTGGGCCTGATGGAGTCCCTCCCATTGTGCTGAAGACGTGTGTCCTGGAGTTGGTACCGGTTTTAAAGCGTCTTTTCCTGTACTCCTATTCCCAAGGCGTAGTTCCGAATTCTTTTTTTTATATAGGATAGGGTGACAAACGAGCACACAGTCCACCTGATGGTAAGTGGTTGCTGCGGCCCATAGACATCTACCCATATCCATCCTCAATTACAAATCAAAATGCAGATGCGTTGTCACCCTTGAGGACTACGATGGAATGCCTCGTTTCCAGTAAAAATGGTCTCCGGTTCTCTACACTCACCATACGAAATACAGCAGCATTAAGCTACTATTTCACGCTGGTATTCTGTAAGAGCGTGGTCCTTCCCCGGTTGAGCCGACCCATTCGTGCTACAACTATACTACTAATATAACTGCAGCATGGCTCTACCACGTATAAAAGTTCTTGGAAGACAGCTTTGGTCCACCCGATCCCTAAAAAAGGTGACCGCTCAGACCCGTCCAACTACAGGCCTACCGCCATCACCTCCTTGTTCTCCAAAATAATAGAATCCATTGTAAACTGCCAGCTCATGATGTACCTTGAGGATCACCAGCTGATCAGTGACCGCCAATACGGTTTTCGTCGTGGTCAATCAGCTGGTGATCTTCTGGTCTATTTTAATCTTCATTCTTTTTTCCTGGAAAATTGTGCGATTGGATCACTAGTTTTCTTGCTAATCGGAGCATCAAGGTCGTAGTAGACGATGCGTGCTCTGATAACAATCCTATTAATGCTGGTGTTCCACAAGGCTGCGTGCTATTACCAACGCTGTTTTTTCTGCATATCAATGATTTGTTGCAAACTGGTAACATTCATTGCTATGCAGACGACAGCACTGGTGATGCCTTATACACCGGCCGTGCCAATATTTCTCGGGAAATCGTCGACGAGTACCGGGACAAACTTGTGTCTGAAGTCGAGTCTTTGCTTAACAAAGTCTCGGATTGGGGGCGACTAAATTTAGTTCAATTCAATCCCCAGAAGCTACAAGTTTGCGCTTTAATCGCTAAAAAGAACCCCATTGTCGTCCCTCCTCAGTTTTAAGGCACTCCCCTTGCTGCCTCAGCTAGCATCAGAATCCTCGGCGTCGACATATCGAATGGTGTGCAGTTTCGTTGTCACTTGGAGGGGAAGGCCAAATTGGCCTCTAAAAAGCTTGGCGTGCTCAGCAGAGCGAGACAGTATTTCATGCCGACACATCGCTTGCAACATTACAAAGCGCAAGTTCGGCGTCACAATGAATACTGTTCTCATCTCTGAGCCGGGGCACCCCAGTGCCAGCTCCTCCCACTTGACCGCATCCAGCGCAGATCGATTCGAATCGTCGACGACCGAGTTCTTTCTGATCGGCTCGATTCACTGGCGCTTCGTAGGGATATTGCATTTTTTTTATATCGTATCTACCATGGGGAGTGTTCTGAAGAATTGTTCGGATTAGTTCTAGCCGCCAAATTTTACGAACGCAAATTGCATCAAAATTCACGATACCATCCTCACCATCTGGATGCTTAGCGCAACACACAGTGGTAGACCACCACTGTGCGTTTTGCTAGGAGTTTTCTTCTTCGTACAACTTCTTTGTGGAATTGTAAACCGGTAATGTGCCACCGGCGACTTTTCCGGACCGATACGACTTAAGGACCTTCAAGAAAAGAGCTGACTCCTTTCTAAAAGGTCGGAAACGCACCTGCAATTCCCCTGGTATTGCGGTTGTTCATGTGCGGCGGTAGTCAGTTAGTCATTTACCATGAGATGAGCCGCATGCCCGTTTGCCTCTTCTTTTATATAAAAAAAACTTGAACACATCTCACACACAACAACACGACAACGTCAACACACATACATCGTCAATTTTTTTTTTAATAATTTTCCCATATTTTCGATAATGCTTGCCCATAGACCACTAATATAGATTGTGCAAGTGAAGTTATAGTTTATTTATTTAATTATTTAAAAACTTACATGTAACACCTTAAGCTAAAGGGTACATAGGGCGGACTTAATGCCATGTGGCATTCTCTGCCAGTCAACCCTGGGTGCCAAGGACAATTGTTGGCAGGTGCGACCATTATACATAAATAAGTGCACATACATACACATACATTAAAATGTATATAGTTCTACGCGGACAAAATCGCGGTTAAAGCTAGTAAGAAATATAATTCATTTAATGCTAATTTTATTATACAGAGCTTCGTCTTTAACCATTTGCTGTACCCAGGATTACTTTACTATTTGAGTTATCTACATCGGTCCGGGATAACTCTCGGTATTTGGCAACCCTAATGACTAGCGTTGTCCATTGAAATAACGTGTGTGAATTGAAGCGGAGTTAATGACAGTGCTCTGTTCTGTTTGAACGAACTAATTGTATTTTGTTTTAATTACTCTCTGTTAGTGTTCTCTTTATTTTGGAGAATATGCTGTATTTTTATGAAACATCTAAATTTTGTAATAGTCATAATGTATTGAATAAAACTACTTTTACCATCGAACTATATTACTAACTTAAATAATACCTCAATGACTTTAACGGATTTTATGGAGTTTAATTTGCTTAATTTTAATTCTCGACGCTTCGGGTGCTTTCCAGCTCCCATGGTCACGGGGTACGAAGGTGATTGACGTCCCGATATCCGATGTTCCAAGCAGGTGATAATACCCAGCCTTTGGGATCCTGTAATTAATAAAATTAAAACTAAACCCAAGCATACCACTGCAAGACTTTAAGACAGTAAGTTCATTCTGCGTAGATCGGACTTAATGTAATATTTAAAAAGCTGAAGGTTGTCAGTTAACCCGGAGTGGGTTAACTGACATCGGGATGTCAATCAACTCAGTCCCCCGTGACCATGGGTGCTGAAAAGCACCCGAAACGTCTTGTATTAAAATTAAGCAAGTTAAACGTGATAAAATCCGTAAAAGTAGTGTATAGCGTAAATATAAGAAATCATTATGTAAGTAACAATGTACTTTTAGCTTACACATTTGGGGACTCTTTTATAATATAATAAGCATGCTAGAAAATTACTTGAAAGTATTTTCGTTTTCGGGAGCATTTCTTTCGAAAATTAAAATTAGCTAAGGTTTTGTTAGTTTCTCTTTTACGTGTTTGACATTTAGAAACAGTAGATGTTAATTAATATTTTTTCAAAGTAACCTTTGCTAATCTTTGTATGTCTATTATCTATATAATAATAAGTCGTTGCATTCTATGGATATAATGTATACAAATGACGAATATAAAATTTTCAAAGACGGTTAGTGTGAATCTATTATAAAGCAATGACCTTACCATTGACATTCTATCAATTTCAGGTGCAGAAGTAGCAGCTAAAAAGAAAATGAAGAAAAGGCCAGGGTTTATATCGAATATAAACGTTTCCCCTTTAATGGTGCAAAAGGATAAGCCCCTCGGTGACTTTAAGGTACGTTATTCCCCAATAGTATTACGTATTCATAGCCCTGATAAGAGTTGAGTCGTTGCCAAGACTACTGCCTGCACACTGATATTTTATTCATATATCACTCTCTAAAACAGCTTTTTTTGTAGTTTTAACAATATTTTAATTAAAAGTATATAAAATCACTGTACAACTTTTTGTTACAATAGTAAGTTATTGCTATATTTTTAGTATATGGGAAAGAGAATGAATTAATCTGGAAGAAACAAGGGAAGTCTTTAAGATAATTATTTTTTATATTAAACCGAAGTAAAAAAGGAATTTATAGTCCACCTGATGGTCAGTAGAAGAACTTAGACTACAGATGCGTTATCGCCACTAATTACGAAGATGGAAGTCTCACAGGCTGGTATTATTACTGGCTTTGAACCCTTCAGACAATAACACAGCAATGCAAGCATTACTCTTTGCATAGATGAAATAGGTATGGGGGCGGTGCATATCCAGACTCTTGGGCAGAAATTAATTCTTACCACATAGAAGCTCCCACCTTACATACTAATTCATCAAATTCAACTATTTTATTCTTGATTTATCCCATTTGTTTCGTTTTATTTATTTCAGAATCAAGAAATCGAGTCTAAACGAACGGTGTCTCCGGGAATAATGGTACAACGCCCCAATATGCAATCTTGTCCACCAGGATATCTAGTGCAACAGAACATGTTAAATATGGCTCAAGAGAACGAAGTTAAACACGAGACGCTCATTCAGAGAAGTTCACACTATCTGACCGTCAACAATGGCTGGATAACACACCAGCCAGAAAACATAGACGGACAGAAACAGAATCAGGCTGCACAAAATTCTGTTAATGCCTCCCTAAATGTAGGTCTGCCAGTGCTAGGGACTAATGGACAAATAATTGGAGTGAATACAGGGTATAATAAACAGACAAATAATCAAAAAAACGTTATAGGCCTCCAGTCGCAGAATGTTATGGAACAAGATCGTAAAGAAGAAAAGAAAGATCTGCACCCGAATTTGCAATCAGTCAGGCAACAGAATAAAGAAGAGGAGTCCCAAATATTTTGTGGTCTGAATCAAGCACTGACCCCAGAAGTAATGCAAAAGATAAATGAACAGCAGCAAATATTCATACAACAGAATCAAAAACAAATAGAAATGGCCATGAAGGGCTTCAAAACACAATTAGCTGAAAACACTAATCAGAACAAACCGCAATTCGTTCCTCAAGCTCAACTGGTGATACAAAATGGAGCTGTGGTTAAAACTAACTCCGCTAAAACACCGCCATGGCAAGTAAAGAAATGTGAGTCTAACACTTCAATGACGAGTCCTAGTCCTAAACCACAAAAATTAGAAAATGTTGAATACGATGAGCAGCACGCAAACCCTCCAGAGGACTCTTCAAATTCATTCGGTTCTTTTCCAGGTCACGACAACATGAACCAGGCAATGTGTTCCCGAGTGCCACCTTTACCTCAACATTACAATATGATGGGTCAACAATGGCCCGGAGTTGAACTTAACAAGAAAAAATTAAAAGGCAACACTAAGGTGCCCAAAAAGAAATTCAGTCCAACTGAGAACAAAACTGTGATGTTTGGTAACAATGGCATGCGATACATTCAAGATACAAAAGGAAAAACTTGTGATGATATGACAACAAATAATGTTCCTTCGTTTATGGATGATCCAAATGGGTACTTAGCGCAACAAACGGTTTTGCTAAATAATACGATTTCTAAGCAAGTAGGAATTAGCTCCAGCTATGATGGCAACCAGTATGAAAATTCTAATAACTCTTACAGCTCTCACAATCAAAATGAAAAATCTGGTAAACAAATGAACAAATCTTGTGATGGAATTAATATTTTCAAAAATAATATGGTGCCAAATTCGTCGCCATCACCAAACAATACCCCAGACAGCAGTTTTGTGCCCGAAAAAATGCCCGAAAACCCAGTTTCTCAGTGCTGTAAAGGCTGCAATATTCCTTATAAAGGGAATAGCTCAGATTACGGTGAAAATCAAATAAGAGCAAAACATATGAAACACAGTCTATGTTCTATGGAATTAGATGGCAATCCGAGTATGTCTAGTCCAAAGCACGGATTTGATGATAACCCTGTTACATCATCTACATTCATTGAGCGGAATTCAATGATAAATGAAAATAGTGGTCCGATCCAAGCAGGTGTGGTAAGCACCAGTAATGTATCGCCTACAGAGACTCTGCAACCTCCGGAACCCTCACCTACGCTGTCCAACAGTTCGAGAAGTACGGATACGCCTCACAGCAGTGGAAGTAATTCGCAAATGCAAAATAATTGTACATTCCCCATGCCAAGCCCGGCGTACCCTGGATCTTGTAGAGACAATTCCAATAGCAACCCCCCAACCCCTGGTAGTAATCACGCTTATCCATACAACTCACCTGGATAGCCAATCTATTCTAGGAACGCAAATGATGCATTTCATATCAAATCATAACGTGAATAAAAACCTAATGGAAGTGGATAACATATCAATGGTTGGAGTGAAACCAGGCTTACGAACTCCACAAGACATTTACAGATTAGAATCAAGAAAGCGTTTTGAGAATATAATGCCAGGTTATTGTCCACCTCCACATTTAGGAGGGGGTCCAGCACACTCGTTAATACAAACATGCTACGTACAAACGTTTGTAACAACAATGGCCAGCGGATTTTCTGTCACTCGAGATACAGTCACTTCAGTATTAGCTGGAAAAGCAAATACAGCTACAACGTCTATTAATGCGTCGCAAGCTAATTTCATTAGGCCACCACCACCCCCAAGCATTAACTTGGCTACAACATATGCGATACCGACGAACCAACCTGATCCCTTTATAAATTCCGTCAATTTACCTACGAGCTATCCGTTGCACATAGCCGGTACAACAGCGCAAAATATGATTTCAAAATCACCATTAGAAATGGTCCAGAATGTAATCAGCAGTCTGCCGTCGAAGTCGGAAACAAATAATACGCAACCTACAACATTACCGCAGATTGGAAGGCGGACTGGTCCCACCACACCCGGACAGATATTGATATCATCTACTGGTCAAATTATTGTTTCCAATAACCATATGCCACCACCTCCGCCGAAAACTAGCACGGCCATTTCCCCCATACAAGCTTCAAGTACGATTACAAATGTAACAACGTCCGTAACGCAAGTTGTTCCCGCAGTTGGCAATGTTCCGCCCATTGTGAATCAACCAACAGTCGTCGTTAATACGTTGCCGACGCCGTTCGTCTTACAGCCGCCGATAATGGCTGTGGACGGACAAGTCATGCAACAGAATACAGTGCTACCTCAAATAGTGACTGGGGGCATTGTGTCGGGACAGCCTTCGAACGAAAGTCCCCGACAGATAGAAGTGAAGAATGGACAAAGCTACGTCCAAGGCGTTGCAATGCTTTCACCGGAAAGTTTAAAGAAAAAAAACAAAAAGAAAAAGGTACCAGCCCCCAATATAACGAACGTCTTGCAAATAACTGCACCGCAACAAAATCCCAGCAACATAATGGTGCATCATTCGTCGCCGCAGCACAATTCTAGTCCACAATTCTCGCCGCGTGGTTTCCAGGTGTCGCCTACCAATAATATTTCTCCAACTCCGATGCTGCAAGCGTTGACTATTGTCCCTGGAAAATCTGGAACACCTGCCCACATAGTTATGAACGGACAAGGCAACACTAATTTTGGTTCCCAACAGATAATCGCGAATACGTCTCCATCGCAGCAGATCAATCTGTTGCAACCGGTCAATTTAATTAATAACACAACAAGCGTTATGTCCAATTTCCCCGCCTTCCAGCAATTCATTGTGCCAAACCTCGGCGGAATGGTTATGACGGCTGATGGAACGGCTATAATCCAAGATAATTCAACAGGAATGCCTGTCCAGTTGCAGCTGCAAACAGTTAACGGACAAAATGTATTGACACCAGTTCAAAATACTGGAGTGTTTGGACAAAATGTATTGACACCAGTTCAAAATACAGCGGGAGCCAACAGCGGTGTTGTGATCAGAGCACAAAATCAACAAGGAAAGATTATCCAATCGCAGCACAGTCCGGGCGCTCAGTTTCTGTCTCCTAATAGCCAGGTTATGATGAACAGTCCCAACTTTAATGGCCAGCTTAGTCCCTTACTTGCCAATTTGAGTCCAACAAACGTAACATTTAATACGAGTCCACATCAAGTGAGAACGGGAAACGTACAAACGCAAGAATTTATACAGACCAATCAAATGGGACAAACCTTGATGGTTCCATTGTCGCCGAAACAGGTCTCACTGACATCAGCGACAAACAACAGAAGCAATTCAACTTTCGTGCAACAAAACACCACAATAGTTCAGCAACAAACAACTTTGGTATCAAACTCGCATAACTCGCAGATGTCGTGCCAAGCTAATTTGCATGGCGGCAATTCTTCACGTCTGAGCATAGACCCTAATCTTCTCCTCACTCATAAACAAATAACAAATCAAAAAGGTAGAAGCTTTGTTCAAATATCTACTGAGAACAATCAAATTGACGAAGTAAAAGATGATAAACACACGCCGCCGGCATTCGGACAGTTGCAATCGAATGAGAATGAAAGAAAAATTGAAAACGAGGGATACGCTAAATTTATGAACGAGTTCAATCCTTTGATCGGGCAGGGTACATTTAATTCACACGTGAGACACTCGGTGTCGACTCAGACTTTAGTCAATCAACAAAGGGGCAAATCACCAAACAGCCAGGCGGTTTCTGGTAGCAGTCCCCCGGACACAACTACGCACAGTCCTTTAGGCGCTTTGGAAACCGCTTCTAGTCCGCGCGTGTACGGCGCCAGATGTATGTCGACGCAAGGCAACTATGCAGACACTACTACCAAGTCGCCGGAGCCCGCAGACGTGAACTCCTCGGTACGTACTAATATTTTTTATCGTATTATAATGGTGTTAACGTTACGTGACTGTCGTAAGGGACGATAAAGGGAAACAAAGCAGGAGATGGGCTGCACCATCCTCCTATTATCAATAATTATAAATTCTAATCCGCTTGCTAAAAATGGTAACGATGGCAAATGACCCCTATGACATAATCGACCATAAAATAGTATAATACACAATAGGAATGGCTGTCAATCTTAATTTTGTAGAAGGATCAAGGATACAAGCAATTACGTCGTATTATCACTACTACAAACCCGATTCGCAGTGTTGACAGACTGAGCGAATTTACACATTTTAGACTTTAAAAAAATTACCTTTTAAATTTTAGTACATATTTATTTGTAAATAGTGTATAAACTAATCGTAAATACAATCGCAGTAAGTATCTTTTTTTTAATTGTAAATAAAAAGTCGTTGAACACGTTTAAAATGCGTAGCATCATATTAGTCTGTGAATTTACAAGCAAACTGTAGTATGTAATGGTTTCACCGCCTAGTACTGGGCGTTTTATTCAGAAACACTTTTAAAAAACAGTTTGTCAAAGAAAAACGAACGAATTTGTAAAAAAAAAACAATATATCACATAAAAAACTTTTCGCGCGTAAACATACAGTAATTTTTTTGCAAATTCAAAATTAGCTAACACAGTAAGTGTAGACAAGCGTTTCTCGGTCCGTTCGTTTTTGTTCTACCGTCTACAACCAAATTTGAATTGTGTATTATAATTGTGTAATATATATATAAATAAATAAGATTTATTTTAGCTTTAATCGTAACGTCAAATCAAAAGTTACTATAACTGTTTTCTATTTACACGACAATAGTTCATAAAGCAATAGTAATAGAGTCTTAACTTAGATCCAACCTACGAGGGTGGATTGAAAAGTACTCGGCCTAACCAAGAAAATAAACACATACTAAATCAGTTATATTTTTATTTTTCTACATAATCACCATCAAGTTCAATACACTTTTGCCACCTCCCCTTCCAAGCATTTAGACCGTTGAAAAAAAAAATGATTCTTCCTTAGAGTCAAAATATGCGTCTACAGCTGCTTTGACCTCGTCGTTTGTCGAAAATCTTTGACCTCCCAAGTGCTTTTTTAGGTTAGGGAACAGAAAGAAGTCTGATGGTGCCAGATCAGGTGAATACGGCGGATGCGGTAATAGTTCAAAGCCACAGTTGTGAATTTCAGCCATTGACTGTACTGACGTGTGAACACGGGCGTTATCTTGATGAAACAGGACTTTTCTTCTGAGCATTCCTCGACGTTTTTCTTTTATTTCCTTTCGTAAACGACGTAGTAAGGTGCAGTAGTAATCAGAGTTTATAGTCTAACCCCTTTCAAGATAATCAATCATAATCACACCTTTCGAGTCCCAGAATACTGAAGCCATCACCTTATTTGCCGACAAAATCGACTTAGCCTTTTTAGGGGGTGGTGAACCAGGTCTTCTCCACTGTTTTGATTGTTGTTTTGTTTCCGGTGTACAGTAATGAACCCATGTTTCGTCCATAGTAACAAAACGATTCAAAAAATCATTGCATCGGCTTCAAATAACTCCAAACAGTCGCGTGAAATAGTCAATCGCGTCCTTTTTTGTTCAACTGAAAGCAGTCGCGGAACCCACCTCGCAGACACCTTGTGGAAACCCAACTCGTTGACAATGATGTTTTGAGTTCGTTCATAAGAGATGCCTATAATCTCGGCTATCTCTCTAATTTTTAATCTGCGGTCTCCCATTATTAAATCAAGTACTTTTTTAATATTTTCGTCAGTAGTTGACGTCGAAGGCCTTCCAGAGCGGGGTTCATCTTTCACACTCTCTCTACCACGCTTAAATTCTGCTATCCATTTTTTGACGGATGAATATGACAGAGCACACATGGATCTCACAACTTTTTACGGTAGAAGAACTGAGTTGCGAGACTCATGTTTTTGATGGCATAAATTTTTCGTATTGTATTAAGTTACATAACACATATAGGTACACTATATTTCGTTTTTCTTTATTTTTCTTGTTTTCTCCCCCCTTTGGGGGGGGTATAAATTTTAAATTTTAGTTAAGAAGTGTCACAGATAAAATTGCGTGACTGCTACAAATTAAAAATAATGAAAATATAAAATAGTACCGTACTGAGATCCTATACACCTTCAGTCTGAAGGCTTCAGATTGCACCATCAGAAAGGTGAGATCATAACTGTCACCGACGTCTTTATGAGCCCTTTCAAATGAGGTCAAACATGGTGTTTCTATGTTGTGCCGTCACTTAGATCCTAAACTTATCTTCGGATTCCACCATAAGGAAGGTGAAATTATCACAGTCATTTAGGTCTTTATGAGTACCTTTCAACAGTGGCGAAGCTAGGGCTCCAAACTAGGGCAAGCCAAGATATGGTTTTGTTGGTTTTAGCAGTTTTATAAAATAAACCAATCTTGATCTGTCTCCACTCTTCAGTTTTATATTCAGTGCTGTCAAGTACGTGTTTAACAAAGCACACAGAAGGCATACTACTGCTAGATAGATTGTATGATATATCAGCAATTGCATACCTTCGGTGGCTTTGAAAAGAGCCGTTTGGGTTTGCTTGAGCGAAAGAAAAAGATATTTACATACACAAGAACAAAGTGCAACCTATGTACAAAATTAAAAAAAAAATTATTTATATTCTAAATTGAATGGTCTCTCTTTCTTAAGGAAAGATTTGATTACGTCCGCGTAAAATGTTAGTGGAACGTTTTAATTGTACCAATAACTGTTTTTACGTAGCATCACAGAGATCCTTTATCCATATTCTGAATCAATCATAAGGAAGGTGACATCATCACAGTCACCTTAGTGTTCGTCCTCCGTCAAGCGAAATTCTCTAAATATATAAAGTAATAAAAAATGTAAATACCATAGAAATAATGAAAGTAGCTAATAATGAAAGAAAGTAGGTACTTATCGGTAATTAAAACGAACTGAAGCCAGCGTATTACGCGGAAAACTCCGTGAAGTGCCACCAGTTAAAAATTTCAACGTAAGTGGTCTTAAGATGAACACACTCACGGTCAGTTTTTATATGTACGTCAGTTCATCTGATCATTTTAACTGACCCTGTGTATAGGCTGTGACTGCGTAGTTTAGCGGATAGTGGGACACGTTAAGTAATGGCAACTGGCAACATTTGAGCAAAAACCAGATAAATACTTGAACTACAGGTCTGGATATGATGCAATTGTCTCTGATACTGTTTTCTAACCTTTCCATAAACATTACATCTGAAATAGGTTATAAAAATAAGTATGAACATAGTTGATACAGTAACTATATATATTTATATATATATATATATATATATATATATATATATATATATATATATATATATAATAAATTATTTAAAAAACTAAAGCAACAACTCACGGAATACCAGTGTAAAATAGCAGCTGGGTTTTGTATGGTGCATGTAGAGAATTGGAGACCCTTTCTATTGTTAACTAGGCATTCTTATTATATATATTATCTTAGTCCTCAGGGGTGATAACGAATCTATGTTTTGATTCTTAAACAAGGATAGGATGATGGATGTAGGTGTCGCGTTTGTCACCCTTTATACGCTTTTCTATTAAAAAAAATCTTTCACCATATTTACTTTTACCAATGAGTAATGTGGTAAATAACAAAATAAATTCCAATTAACAATTTCATTGGTGCTGACATGGATAAAATTCAGTTGGATCTTGTTGCTACCGCGGCTTCTATTTTTCGTTTTATCACAGCATACAAGTCTGTTGAAATTTCTTTCCCATAATGGCTGCTTACAAACATAAATGTTATTTGTGAACCGATTTGGAATATATCATTAATTTAAAGTAAGTACAAACAAGAACAAGAATAAGGTTTATAAAAGGCCTGCTTATATGTTGCAGTTGTAAATGTTATAGTAAGTGGGTATCTATGCGAATTGTTTTTAAACGAATGATAAATAATATTAGAGTTGAAATCATAAACGATTATGTTTTTGTTATTTCAGGCCATGGTACAGTGTGTGTCTAGCAGCGAGCAAGATATGGCCGAATCAAGGGAACGGGGTTGGCCGACGCCGCGAAGCGACATTAACTCCGATAACGAAATTCCAAGTAGGTGATCGAATTATTACGATGATAGCTGTGCCTACGGCTTCGCTCGCATAGTCATTTTTAGAAATTAATTTTACTTTACTCTTTGAATCGGATATAGTCCACAATTTCAGTGTTTTAAATTTTTTTTGCGCGGAACCTTAACATTTTTTTTCTAAAATGAAGGTAGCCTTAGTTACTCCTTATCGTTATCATCATCATCATTATCATCGTTACGGCCCTTCACAAGTCCACTGCTGAACATATGCCTCCCCCAATGAATGCCATAATGCACGGTTCTGAGCCACCTGCATCCATCGACGTATATCTTACATCTTACCAAGTCGTCACTCCATCTAGTAAGAGTCGCCCTACAGTTCGCCTACTGGTACGTGGCTGCCACCCGAAATTCTTTTTCCCCTATCGGTTGTTTGTTCTTCGAGCTATATGGCCGGCCCATACTGAAGAGGCATCTTCAGTAGCCACTTACTAATCCGTTGGGCTATGTCGGCCACTCTGGGTCTACTGTGGATATCCTCATTTCTAAGTTTATCACCTGGAGAAACCCCAAACATCGAAAGGACACGAACACGAACTCTATAGCTCGCTGAGCGACCCTGAGTGTCCTCATATGGTCAGCAGTTAAAGACCACGTCTCAGATCCATGTCATCACTGGCAACACGCGCAGATTGTGCAATCTCGTTTTCAAGTTTCGCAGAAGGTGGGTACGGCTCTCCACGCCGTGTACCTGCTTAACATCTCCGACACGACTGTTGGCGAGGAGAGGTGCCTACCGATTCGGCTCACCAGGACCATCCGCTCCCGTTTCCCCGCTGTAATGGTGTGTACAAGTGTATCCACTGCAGTGGAAAAGCGTTGGAGTCTCATCTCACACAAAATAGATTGGGCAGCAGTCTGCATATCACCCGCTACCCTTTCAATCCGAGGGATTAGGTGTTCGAAGTGTTCTCCGAAGGTCCAACAACTGTCCAGGTGGAGGTCTAAGTAGTTCATATACAGCCCCACTCTGACATCAGGCCCACCGACGCGAAAATTCAATTTATGAAACCAAAGGTCCTCAGTCTTGTTAGGTGCTATTTAGTAAAAGTAGCAGTACCTGCACTGCATCACTGTAACTGTCGGTGTATCGCTCTTTTTAACCGAGTTCAAAAAATGAAAAGGTATGTGGTATAATGGGCACTTTTGTTTTTTACAAGGGTGGACCCATTTTTTTATAGGATAGGATGACAAATGAGCACTTAATCCACCTGATGGTAAGTGGTTGCTGTGGCCCATAGACATCTAAATCTATCCTCGATTACGAATCAAAATGCAGGTCCGTTGTCATCCGTGAGGACTTAGGTGGAATGCCTAGTTTCCAGTAAAAAATATTCTCTTTGGTTCGCTACACTTACCATACGAAACATAGCAGTAATTAGGCTGCTATTTTACGCTGGTATTCTGTGAGAGGGTGGTCCTTCCCCGGTCGAGCCGACCCGTTCGTACTACAACTATACTACTATTGTAACTGCAGCATGGCTCTACCACGTGTAAAGCGTACAGGAGTCGCTGCTTTCTGATGACGTGCATTTCGATTGTTAATCGAGGATAGATATAGATCGAGTATAGATTTGCGAACCAGTGGTAAATGAAAAAAAGTTAACTTTCCATAATTATTGTTTATATTCCATATTGAATAAAAACATATCTGTTTCTGATATCTATAGACTACAGCATGGTGTGCATGCCGTAGTCCACCAGCAGTGGACTGAGTTTTCCTTTTGTTACTATTGGATGTAGGCGTTGTAAGACTGACTTGATATTATACATACAGTGCTGTGCAGTCTGGTAGACAAGTGGAGTGCAATTACCCATGCTTTATTCCTTTTAAACCTGCTTCCCATCACCAGCTTGTGATTTAAGTTGAAAGTTTTGGAATGGATATACTGTCTTTTGTAGCTTCGCTTGTCAAATAGTAGAATGCATTTCGTTAAGCCACAAAATTTATTAACAAATATTTGTATCAATTTTCAGCTCTGATGTCAAACGTGCCCATAGTACGTCCTAGTCGGCCAATGAATTCAGTGGAAACATCCGAGATGCACTACAACCAAAACATGGGAACACCTAATTTAAACAATCAACATGTTATGCCGATGTCCTCTAATTATTATGAAAGAGCCCAGGGCTATAAGAGGAAACACGAATTTGGCGACGGCTCCTCCTATAGAACGGATAAATTGATGAGAACAAACTACAGTATGGTACATGGTCTACCTAAAGATTCAGAATACGACGGATTAGGAATTAGTTCCCCAGATAAATCTCAAAGGCACTTCTCTACTTCGGGGACCAGTTCGGATTCACCTTCAATGCAGAAAGTATTCGATAGACATAATTTAGGTTCTGGCGATGGTAAGTATTACTCTGTACAGCTAATTACCTTTTCACTTTAACGCTTTAAATCTTTGCCGCCTAATTCGACTCTTCTCATGCGATTTAAATGTGGGAGCGCTATTCATCAACATAATTATGGTTATAATAATAAAAATTTATTGTTTTCAATATTCACCATGTTCTGTTACGAAATAAAGGAAATAAAAATTGTGTAAATTATATCAATACAATACAATAAAATAAAGTGCATTTTGAATTTGATAATGCAGTTATTAAAACTATCATAAAATTGTAAATCTATCACATTAATCTTACTAAGCTGATTTTTTAACGAAGATGTATTAACTTCTTTTAAAGATATTTCCTGTTTTGAAAAACAACACAAGTCCATTGTCGATCTTCTTCATCAAATCAGCTCTTAATACTTTGTCTTCTATTACAGTAGCAGATGCTAGTCTTGAGATTTCTAACTTTCGTAAACTAATATCCAAAAACATCTCACGCTTTGTTCACAGCTAACAAAATTCAAAATTTTTATTACGATGTTGTGTCTTGTATTGGTTTTGGATTGATTGTAATAAAGGCGGTTACGCTAAATTTTATTGAACACGTTAATATAGTTAATTATTAAAGAACAAAGTCGCCATACTGATGTGTATTGTGGTATATTTCAGCTTCTACATAATGCGATAATATTGGTCATTGGTTTTCTTTTGGTTGGGTTAATACAAGATACAGCTGTTAATAAATGGTGTACTGGAAACTAATCAGAGTGTAGCGATGTGCAGCGTTCAAACGCTCCCCACTACGGCTTGTCGCTTTCCATTGCACCACACTTGAAGTAACAAAATTGGCTCACAAATTGGGATCCCATTACTAACGCATCATTGTAAAGTCATCACCATTTCATCTGTTCATCGTTGTAAGTAAAGCACATTTTCATTTTAATGTAACATTCTTCTTGGGTGAGGGGAAAAGTAAATCCGAGCTTCTTCTTTAAGCAAATTTATAATTATATAAAGTCTTAATTGTTAATATTATCGTTGTATTTTTCCGAGTTCGCCCAAATCACGCATTAAGTTGAAACTATCTCTTACTTCTACCTGTGTGAAACTGAACCAAAATAAATTTATTAATGTAACTATTTCTAAGCTTGCTGGATAGTTATGTATTAAGCCGTGTTCGTCGATCGCTTCACTTTGGTGTTGGAAACGCGGTGATGGAATGCTACTAATAAGTCGCAAACAATAAACAATAAAATGATTGTGGTGTGGTAGATTCGAAGAGCGAGGACGATTTGGACGAAAAAGGGGGTGAGGTATCTAGTGAAAAAGCGACGCGCAAGTTTGAGGTCGGGGACCTTATTTGGGGCCCGGTGAAAGGGTACAACTCGTGGCCAGGGAAGCTGGAGGCCCGCTGCGAAGATGGGAAATGGAGCGTGCGTTGGTTTGGTGCCGACAAGACGGCGGGCTGTGTGGAACATTCTAGACTGCTCACGCTCAGCGAGGGCCTGGAGGCGCACCACGCCGCGCGCACCAAGCACAGGAAGTGAGTGCGATCCCACCAATGTGACCAACCAGGGGGCTATTATCCACGACTATAATTATAGACCGTATTTGATATACGATGATGTTTCGATAGTTTTCGTAACATAAAAATTCACGCTTTTTTATTGATTTGATGTTGATAATAGCCTCCCCTTTTGTACTTAATCAACGATTATAATAACGCACTTAATACATTATGTTGAAACTTGAAATCAATGATTGTCATAGAATAAATTTGTTAATTCTTTGTTAATTTAGTTATTTACGATGTAATATTAACCCAACCCAAAGATTATATTGAATTGCATCAGAAGTTTTAGGATATGTAAAGAACTTGCTTCGTATGATATTTATAGCTATTTATGTTATTGTACAGGAGTAGAAAATTGAATTCTTTGCTCGAAAATGCGATACAAGAAGCAATGGCGGAGCTAGATAAGAAGTGCGATAAAAACATGGAAAGGAAAACCGAGGGCGAGGATTCAGATGTCGGAATATCGATTACAGATACACCTAAAAGAAGCAGGAAACATGACAAGTTAAGGAGCAAAGAAAAGCATAGAAAGGCTCCAGCGAAAGTGGATAGCTCGAGGTCACGAAGCTCGCGATGACGTTTGAACGATAACTGTTGATTTCATGATGTGTGTTAGTTGCAGGGATACTAAGTTTACATAACTCCTTATAAAATAAATGTTGAATGTCCTTTGCCGGCGACTGGGTGCTAATGAGGGGCGATTACGCAAACTTTTACAAATTACATCTAATCGCTTTTAATAACATTTCTATGTGTCATAAAAATGAAACTAAAATTACTGAGTAATGTTTCTTTTGATATTTGTTTTGATAGGGCAATTGCGTTGTGTTATGATATAAGATGATTTATTAATTCGGCGTGTATTTTGTAAATAGTTATTAAAACAATTTTTGAGCATTCCGTTTTAATTGGGGTTTGCGTTGTATAATTTAATATAAATAAAATCTTTAAGAGAATTTGGAAGGATAAAATCATATACACTTTACGATATTCACGATAGATTCATTAATATTATTAATTATTAATACATTATAATAAATATAGTGTTTATGTGTAGCATACGTGGTTTTAAATCACTGTTGTTTCACAACTATATGTAAGTTTAAGAGAATTGAACTAAATAGATCTGTCTCTATATTGGGACATGTATGAGGGCAGCGTACAAATTGTTAAATACCATTCGTGATAAGTACTCTTGTAAATCATAGTAATATAAATCATCATGTATAAAGCATCACTATTTCGATGTTGATATTGGTTTCTCAGTCCACAAAAGGACTCAACATTAATTTTAAACTGGTGAATTTGTTATTAAATTCGAAACTAAAGTTTTATATTGATGATTTGTAATTGACATTTAAAAATTTGTGCTGGCGCCCTCATAACTTTCATACATTTCATCGATGTTTGTACAATTTTTATGGAAATGTAAATTTATAAGAAAAAAAAACGCTATATATCATGTACATTTTGTTTTCTTAGAAAATAAAGAAAAATATGATTTCTAGTCAAAATATTGAGCATAATAAAGTGTAGATGTTACGGACGAGGTAATTGACAATAACACTGGCCTGGCGACCTGTCAACATTAATATATATATGTACATTATTTGTGCATTATTTATTTCGTTCCACATTGTGGTATTTGTTTTCGATTATAATTTCGTTAATATTTTTATATACACAATAGTTAAAATAGTAGGTTTCTATAAATTTTATATTAAGTCTTGAGTATTAGGTTTTGGGTAGTAACAGCTGTCAACAAAAGGTTTCAAAATTTCATTAGCTAACTATTTCATTTCATTAAGGCCTAGTTAGACTAAACAACTTAGACTAAACAACAATTGACAATCTTATAGTTATAATCAGAACGATTTCTACCGCTACCGAATCGATTTACCGAAACTTTTGGTTTCATTCTAACGAGAGGAGGATACCCTTATACACTCGAAAAGTTTTAGTTCTATGCAATAGCGTGGAAGTAATCATTCACTCACGATTTGTAAAAATAACTCGTGAGTAAAAAAAATTGTGAGTAAAAATATTGTTAACATTTGCAGGTAGAAAATCAGTTAAATAATTTTTAAAAAACATGTTTCCCTCCTATTGTTACGTAGAATCGGACTTGAAATTCGAGGAAGCTCAGGAAAGTTGTACATTTTTGAACAAAAATATTCTAATGTGATAATTATTAAAATCATTTCATTGAAAACATTCGAGATTTATTTAGCTTATGCTTTAGCTGATATTATTTAATGCATCACATTTCGGTACCTTTTCTTCTTTTATAATTAAGATTTTCACTTTAAGTGTCGCTTTAATGATAAGTTTTCGATTTACGGTACAAGGGAGATTATTTTAAAACATTTCTAAAATGATTTATTATCACAAACTTCAGATAATATCTAGGTAAAGGATTTCAAAAAATCGTAGGTAGCATGTTAAATATAGAGTCACGTCATTAATACATTTTATAGGTAATTTGTTAATGACAGTCATTGTTAGATAATATTATCGATGTGTGAAATTAATTTATGTGATCTTTGAATATGTCCGGGAAATTATATATCAAGGATTTATCATAGCTTACTGTTTTTATATTATCGTATTTTAAACTTAGGGATTCGACTTAATTTTCCTAAATAATAAATGTGACTCCAGATATCAACGTAATATTAAATGTTAAATGGATATTGTTTATTAAAACAAATAGCACTTCCCTGTGAAATGGTATTATGTACATAATCTAACTGTAGTTATGTATAGTATTTTATTTCATTGAAATTAATGTTTTATAGACTAATATACAATATAAGATTATTTATTTGTTTTGCTGTGTACATATTTTTTTTTTTCAATAAAATGTACCTGTTTTATTTCAGTTTTCTTCATTTATTTATCTTAATTTTAAAGACAATGAGAAGTTAATTAATTAAGCGTTATGATTTACATTCTTCGATTTATCGATGTTGATTATACAACATGTGACAAAAACCCTGTGGTTCCCGTGAAGTGCGTTGTCAGAATCAGTATCCACGCGTATAGAAGTACATAACTCATTTTCGTAAAAACACATTTAAAAAAATAATTTTAATGAAAAAAAAAATTAATTTGCAAATTGTATTGTGCTTTTATTATCTCTGCATTGGCCGAGGAGTAAGAGGATTGTCAAAGACCCCGCATTACCGATACTCGTGTGAGTGAGAGGAAATAAAACCATATACAATTTGCAAATTATTTTTTTTAAATAAATTTTTTTATGTTTTTTTTTGAAAAAAAAAATATTTCTATACGCTTGGATACTGATTCTGATAACGCACTTAACGTGAGCCACAGGGTTTTTGCTACATGTTGTATATATGGCCATCGAGTTCGCGTCTAAAAATCTGCTTATGGGTGTTGTTCCTTTTTCTTCTATTCAGCAGCCTGTAATCAATTGACCAGTGGCGAAGCCTACATAGAAGCCGAAAAGCCAGGCTTGCCTTTTCAATCTGCTCAATCAATAATATCAACTAATAAAATAACTCGTTAACTGTTTCAAACTATTTCAAATTTCCTGCGCGCTCCTATGTTCTAAAAAGGTCATGACCTCGTAGCATATATGTAACGTCAACACTTGGCAGTTTGCAATTCGAAATACACTGTTTTGTGTTCTCTTTGTCTCAAAGCGAACACGCAATGGACTGTCAAAATTAATGAAAGCAACGAGTTGATTTGAGCTATAAAGGCTCGATGACACTGAGCTAGTTTACGAGCTGCTTGTCGGTGAGTTTAAAAGCTATCGAGTGTCGATGACACAAAAAAAATTCCACCCGCTCTGTAGCGAACTAGCTAGCTAGTTTTAGCATATTTCTATAGGGCAAAAGGGATCTTGGTCCTCCAACTCTCTTAATAAACCACTGGAAGCACCATATTCATCGTGTATTCCACGATCTTACCTATTTTCTTTTCTCTTTCAAGTTTTTCTTTTAGTTTTCGTTGTAAATACTTCTTGATAACATGAGCTAAAAGAACTACTCCCGCGTGAACTACTTCCTTTGACATTTTAGCTTAAACTGCCAAAACGAAAATTAGCCCGGCTCTCTATTTTTCAAGCAGCTTTTTTAAAATCGGATACTCAAAATCAGATTGTAAAAAAGCTCAATGACACGGAGCGAGTTTACAAGCTGCTCGCGAACTCGGTGGCTTGTAGCTTGTAAACTAGCCCAGTGTCATCGAGCCTTTAGTCGTCTCTATCGCACGCGTTGGCTTTTTACCGGACTTTCGAGAAGATATCGCTCCCTTTCTAACCTGTGGCAAAATGTTCTATAATGAAATATAACTACGAAATGTTTATATAGCAATTACTATAGAACCAAAGCAACCACAAAACCATATCTTGGGCTTGCCCTAGTTTGGAGCCCTAGCTTCGCTACTGCAATTGACATGAACTTCACCCATAATGGGGAGCTAGAGACAATTTATCGGAATCGTAGTAGTAGGTAAATCAATGATTGCAGTGTCGGATCTCTCAGACCTTAGACGATGCTTCCCGTAACCATTTAAAGAATTTTTAATCTGCTATTAAAACGAAACCGTGTAGTGTCGATGAAAGAATATCCACTACCCCATATCGTCCCGTGCGACAGAGGGAAATTGAAACAGGTGATGGACAGCAGCATTTTCCTGATAACTCAAATAATAAAAAAAAACTGCGGTTTTACACACCGCTCGCCAAGTGTGTCAACTATGGCAAAATCACCCCTATGAGGCAATCTATGGAGGAGGCCTATTTTAGCCTCATAGAGGGGATTACGCCCTAATTGCTTTTTGTTGCGCTCAATTAGGCACAGGAAGATGCTACTGCGCACTTCCTGTTCCAGTTTCCCTATGTCGCCTCTATCGACACCTACGGAACAATATACCGTAGCGGATATTCTTTCACCGCACCCCTATAACGTAGTTCTAGATCTCAGATTCTAGGATCGTAGTTCTAGATATCATTTCTGTATTACGGCTTATAACACGACGTGTCAGCTCGTTTCTTTGTAATTTTTTGTGAATTATCTTATTTGTTAAAGGTATATATTTAAAGCTGTTGATACTAAACGAGTTATTTTATGAGGGTCTTATAGTTTTGTTTACTCAAATGAAATATACTGGATGAAGTACTAACTAACAATGTTTATCAGCTATATTCCTGTTGTCTATTGTCTGTTTGTTTGTACGTTTTAAAAAGCGGTTACCCAAATATAGACTTGATTAATTGATTGACGACATGAAAGACAGCCAAACCATGCTCCGTACAAAAAGCAACTTTTGACTAATGTGGATCAGTTGACATTATTCATTATTTTCCTAAAATCTGGCACAAAAATAACTGCAGATATAATTCCAGAATTGGGAAATATGATGTACAAACTCGTTGTTAAACGAAAGAGACATTAGCATGGAGTATAGACGTAAGGAGGACAATCTCCCATAGGAGAATAGTTGAAAATGTGTCCATCTGTAAGCAGTAAACAGTTCAAAAACTCTCCACAACAGCGCTCGAGTACAGACAGGGTATGTATGGTATAAATCGCCGTTAAATATATT